AAATAAGCATCTTTACTCCAATAATGATTTTATAGATCCTATGAGGTCCTATCAGACCAGAGAAAGGTCTGTATTTTGTGCAGATGATAAAGCGAAAGACAAAACCATCCAAGTGGCAGAGCGAGAATAGTAAAATTCGGTATGCAGTTCACTACTACCTGCCATCAGGGTGCCGGGCACTTTGAGCTCCTTCTCGGAAATTTTCTGGAACCCACTCGCGTGGGGCTCTCGGAGCCGGACCTCACCGCATGGACCCAGGTCTTTCCTTCCTGAAGCGTGGCGAGCCCGGGGTATTCCCCCACCATGTCTACAGCACCCAAAGTGGGGTGGTGGCAGGTCCCTCAGCGTGCTGCACCTCTGGCACCCAGGGTGGGCACCAGCGCACTATCTCCGATCAGGTAGACCACTGGGGTGCCGCGTCAAGTCCTCTGTGGCTTACAACTGGCCCTTCAGATCCCTGTCCTCCCCAGCCCCTGATCACATGGTGACTTCGCGCTCTCCCGGACTAGTCAAGTGCATTCCTCTCTGGCGAATGCAACCACTGGACTGGATTCACCCACCTGGAAGGTAGGGTGCCGCTGACACCGAAAGAGATTCCATTTTAGGGATGCGGTGATCCTGGCCTGAAGAAATCAAAACATGGTTGGACGGTATGTAGTAAGTTTAGCGTGACTAGAAAACAAATGATCACTCACATTTTCCGGCATACCTTGGTTAAGACTTGCATTTGTGGACATCAACAAGAGAGCACATTCTTTGAGAAAATCACTGGAAGCCAGGATTCAGGCGCAACATGATGGATGATGGAACTTAATGAAAATGATATGACCAACATTACCTTAATGGCATTAGGATACAGCAGAAGCAAGAGCTGTATTGTTTCAGTAGAAGTTACAAAGAGTCATGGCATTCTGAGTAGTAACAGCACTGCTACTTTTTTTTTTCCATGGTGGGAGATAGGCAGCTAGACAGGAACAGTGCATTTAATGATAAAGAACATGAAGAGATGGTGCATGGACACTACAGAGAATCTTCATGCTCACTGATTAAATAAACAAATGCATACGTGTCTCTATTTTAAATCTTCATCAGTAAATCACCATATCTTACTTGGCCCATGAATTTTTAAAATACATCTTTTAATAAAATTGCTTATATAGACAGGCACCCCACAAAACATGTTTGCCCAGGAAGCTACACACCATTAGGGGCATCCCTGACTCAACCCTTCACTATATTTTCTCACAAGAAGCCAAAAAATGATTTGACTTAAGTGTTATTTAACTCTCAAGTTCATTTTCCTTCTACATTTTAAGTAATTTATATTGTATTTCACTAGCCCTATCTTCCTCTGTATTTCTGCTCCTTTATTTTCTCTCCTCCTTCTCTATCTAGTACCTTTCAAATCCAAAGCAAAGGTGTGTGTGCGTGTGTGTGTGAGAGAGAGAGAGAGAGAGAGAAGGGGGGAGAGTAATATTAATAAATAACTCTAGTACAATTTTAACATGCCATGAGAAAAATAAAATTAGGTAAAGAGGATAGGGCATACTGAGAAGAGTTGTTGTAATTTTAAGCAGGGTAATCGGGGTAGCCTCATTGAGAAAGTTACATTTGAGGAAAGACTTGAAGGAGGTGAGTGAGTGAGCCATGTAGGTATGGGAGGAAAAGCATGCCAAGTAGAGGGAAAGCAAGCGCAAAGACTTCAGGAAGAGTACCTGCATCGCGTGTTGGAGGAACTGTGTTATTGTGACAGGAGCAGAGAATAGGTGGCAGAGCAGTAGGAGATAAGGTCAGAGAAGTAAAAAGATGTGCAGGTGAGGGTTGGGGAGCCAGATGGGCCTTTAATTTGAGGGGGGCGGTTGGTTATGAGTAGAGTGGCATGACCTGATTTATCTTGTAGCAGAATCACTCTGACTGCTATGTTGAGTCAGAACAGATTGTAAATGAGGGCGGAAGCAGGGAGGTCAGTTAGGCTAGAAGTGATACTGAGATCACTACCCTTCAAGGGAACTCTTCAGAGTATACAAAATTAGAATTTCATATGGCTATTTGTATTTGTGACTAGCAATGAGTTTTGGGAACCTGATTAAATGAAACATTAGCCACATGAACTAAGAGAATTAAGATTAACCTTTAAATAGGGAATCTGAAATTCTGTGCATCTGAGAGTAGTGAGATTGCTTAGAAAATTCATAGGCACAGACAAGTAAAAATAAACACCAAAACAGTTTTTAAAACCTGATACTAGGAAATAGCAACTGGGAGTTTGCATTACTTGCAAAGAAACTTAGACGAAAACAAATGAGTAAGACAAATATCTTAGCGACATTATTCTTTAGTAATGAAGATGAACGGAGAACAGTAACAGAGAGCAGAAGTGCTTCAGAAGATATTATATACATTCAAAATTATGAATAACACTAATATCCTACTTTTGAATTTGCAATGTGCTTTTATATACATTATTTCATGTTCTCTGAATGATCTTATAAGCTTATTTAGCTTATAAATAGCTAAAGCTGGGCTTCTCACATCTGGCCTCAGATCCTGTGATGTTCTCCCTACACCATTTGCCTACCTGCAGAGCTTGAAACACTCCTGTCCTCTAACATCTTTATAAATTAAAAACAAAACACTAAAATAAAGCCAATTTGCCTCATAACAATTCCCCCCTTTCAGAAAGGGAGTAAAGGGCCTTCCTGTGTCTGTGAAGTGTCTTTGTTATTGTCAAAATGAAATTAGAGATCAACCAAAAAATTCTTAATGATGTCCATGTAGACGTGACGAAGATGTGGGGGTGTTCTCTTGATTACATTAGCACTGGAACTCTCTTAGGGAGGTATCTGCAGTATTAAGAAACAGAACAAAACCACCACATGAGCATTCTGAAATATGAAGGCTTTATAGTAAATATATGTAACAGGCTTGAAAAGGTTATTTTACCAAAAATTCTGTTAATAGTAAAACAAATAAAGGAGCACTTCATTTATTAAATTAAAACCTGCAACCAACATTAATCTTTTTCTAAATATAAACCTTAAATTTGTTGTTTTGCTGCATCTCATCTATTTTGATAGGTTGTTTTTATTATCAGTTAGGAAAAGTTTAAAAATTTTACCTTCTTCTTTGATCCATTATTTAAAGGTGTTACCAACTTCTGTGCCAAACTCATTCCGTCTTCATTACTTGTCACTTTGGTTACTAGAACTTCATCTTTCCTATTGTTCTAGCCAAAAACCATTTTTGACTTCTCTTTCTTACAACCCACATCAAATCCTGATCCTACAGGATCTGCAAATTCCTTCTCATCCCCCAGTTCACTATGCATTAGCCATACTGGCTTCCAAAATACCAAGTGGACTCTCACCTTAGGACCTTCGCACTGACTCTTCTGTCCAGCTCGTCCCCCCAACAAATCATTGCTTTCTGTGAACTCAGGATATCCAGAAAAATAAGCACCTTATATTTGCAAAGTTACTTCATGTATTTTGATTCTCACCTCTGTCAGCAGAGTTCCCAATTTTTCCCTCAAAGTTTAATAAAAGAATGACCCAAACCAACCCTTAAGACCCAGAATCAGTACCAAAGTGTACCTAAATACGTTTGTTTTAACTATTCCTCTGCTATAAGTAGTACTTCCCAAAAGAAGATCAAGATACTTTCTGGTCCATAGTACATCATCATTTGAACAAGAGAAAACTTCAGGGGCACCTAGGTGGCTCAGGTCATGATTCCAGGGTCCTGGGATCGAGCCCCACATCGAGCCCTGCATTGGGCTCCCTGCTCTGCGGGAAGCCTGCTTCTCTCTCTCCCACTCCCCCTGCTCGTGTTCCTGCTCTCGCTGTCTCTGTCAAATAAATAAATAAAACCTTAAAAAAAAAAAAGGTATCATTCCTCCATTGAATAGCCTTTAAAAAAAATTAAAAGAAAACTTCAGAGCCTTTATCATTGGGGAACTTATTTAAAAAGTGTTACCCCACTACACAAGTGAAATCAGCTTTAATACAGAAAACGAAGGAAAACACAAAAGAACGTGAAATATCTTTTAATATGTTGGGAGTATTTTCTTACATTTCCCCATGTTCCTTTTTGACTTAACATATCCACGTTCCTTTACTATAAACATAAAATATAACTAGCTCGTTAATAGTCTTCTCTTAAAAGTACCATGCTCATTTAGCCATTTTCTTAGCTTGTGCCATTATGGGTCTCTGAAAATTTTAACTGCTGCGATGAACTTGGAGACAACAGATGCGTATATTTTAAGTATTACCTCCTCAATTTTATTCTCCCAAATCAAAAATTCTGGACATTTTCCGGAGTACTGATACTTATTTTTACATTGCTTACGAAAGCTGTTAAACGCAATCTACACCCCCTTTATCAATTCACAGAAATACATCACACACTTAGAACTATGTCCAGCCGCGTTCACTTTACAAAATCAATAAGGAAGCCCAGGGATCTAGAACCCAGATCTCTAGACTTCCAGTCAATTTCTTCCCCGATTCCCTGCAACTGGCTACTCAGCAGCTAGGCCGACCCGCCCGTCGCACCAGCAGAGCTTCTGCTTCTCTGCCCACTAGAGTCTACCCTGGTCGGCCTCTCGCCCAACTCCCCCGGGATGCCAAGGAACTGGGAGACTCGACAAGCGTAGAAGTCACCTGGACCCCACCACTAGCCGACAGAAGCAGCGAGTCGGTCAACTCCGCCGAGGCCACAGGGTCGCAAACCGGAAGCCGGAAGCGACGAAGTTCGCGGACGCGCCCCGCGTCCGGCCCTCAGCCACTTCGTCCCGCCTGCAGCGACAACGTCCCGCCTCGATACGCATGGCCAGCTTTCAGTCTAGACCCATCGAGCGAGGATGTCGCGCTGAGTGGCTTCTCAGGCTCAGGCCCTGAAAAGCCCAGGAACCGGCCCCAGGTGTCCGTAGCGAATGCCAGACCGGGTGCCTTTTCCATCTCAGCAAATCCCAAGCGGCGGTGGGACCGGCAGCTCCTCAGCGCTCCGCTGGCCAGGCCTAACGAGTCGAACGCCGAACTAGAGAGCAGGCGGAGGCCCGTGCGGGGCTGTTGCTCAGCAGGCCCGGCCTGGCTTTGGGCCCCGAGCCTCCCAGCCGGGGACTCTGCGCCTGCGCCCGTCCGGCCGCTGCCCGCTCCCCTGGCGCGGCCGCGGTCCCAGCTGCAGCGCGCCGCCTGGGTGGCTGGGCGGTCCATGGGCAGCAGCGAGGGCCACGATGACAGATTACGGCGAGGAGCAGCGCAACGAGCTGGAGGCTCTGGAGTCCATTTACCCCGACTCCTTCACAGGTGACTTCCGTGGCTGCGGGCCCGGAGTGGCCCGGGGGTGGAGTGGGATGGGCCGAAGCCCTCGGCCTCCGGGGCGAGGATGGAGAAGGGGACAGCGAGGCCGCGTGGGCACCTCGCCCGCTACTCTCTCTTCACCTTCTTCTCCCGACGTGTTCAGGCACTTAGGAATAACTCCACAGCTTTTCCCATTCTCCGCTTCTTCCCTGAAATCTGAAAAGTCCGGGATAGGCTGGCGAGGTCCCTGGAGAGTGTCAGGCCTGGAATTGAGTTGGGTGCACTTTGGTTTCTGTGTAATTTACAGCGACCCGAGGTTTAATGAAAAAACACGAAAACAGATACTCAAGTGGGAGTGATTTTTCTAGAGCTGCAGAGGTGTCGATTTTCACTTTTACTCGGGTAGAAGCTGTTTTGCATACGTTGGTGTTTTAAAGTTTATGGGATTCAGAGGGCTGTTCTCCAAGTTACCCAGAATCAGTTTTGAGAGTCCCTGGGATTTGTCGTTTTTCTTTTTTCTTTTTATATTCTGCGAATGCCCAGTGAATGATGTGGCACAAATTTCAGTTCCACTGCAGATTCACATGTTGTTAGGGAGGGATATTAGACATCATCTGGGCAGGACGCGTCTTGCTACAAGCAAGGTAATGGAGGCGCAGGAAAGGTAAGTGGCTTGCTTTGGGTCTAGCCAGCAAGTTAGCGGCGGAACTGGTACTGAGAGTTAGGTCTGGATCCCCTTCCTGTTCCTTCACTTTGCAGACTTGCGGAAATTGGGATCTAGCTCCAGGTGGGATGAAGGGGAGCAGAAGATCACTTAATAGGTTGGGCTAATATAAAATATTATTAAGAAGCTCATTCGGTATGTTTTAAAGGAAGATAATTTTTCTGTGTTAAGCCGTGCTTCAGATGATTTTGAAAGTGCCGCAAGATAACCCTATCAATATGGCTTTTCTCGCATTTACACTCAGTGTTTGAGAAGTGATCAAATAAAGCCAATATGAGTGAGTGGAACCTAGGTTTGTGGGATTTACAGACCCTATCCCTTCCTTTGTTGTTCATCACTGTCAGAATTCAGAATGTAAGGTATGTTCAACTCCAATCCCTCTCCCTTTCGTTGTTTAGCTTAGTTTTCTTAGCTCCATTTTTTGACCACTGCTTGCAATGGTAGCAAATTTTGTTCTGCTTTGCCAACAGGCAGATGTCTCTCAGCTTCCCCTGTATAGTTCCAGTCCTGTTCATGTTCTCTCTCACCAGCAGTACAGCTGTGCTGTGAGGATGTTAAGGGGATGAGTGAAGAGGGGTTTGAGAGTGTCATTAACTGGGTGAGTGTGTATGGAGTCTGGCTCCCTTCTCTATCCTTGCTTATATGTCAATGTCTAAATAAAAGAGAATATAGGGTCAGTTTTTGGATATATTCTTAATCGTGACGTTTGGTCATTTCTAGTACATTGGAAATGTAATTGGCACTGTGTAGGTAGAGTTAAGAAAGCATACGGTGTGCTAGTTTTTTCTATGGACATAAGGTATCCCTCATTAAATACTGTGCATATAAGCATTTTACAAAGTGATATATTTTTTAGTCCTAAACCAATCTTATGGTTCTTTCAAATTGTACTAAGCTCTGATATAGTTCGGTATGTGAAATTCTTGTCAGATGCAAAAGTTTTTGAGGATTCTGAGCCAGGGTTATAAAACACAGTTTATGAGTCTTTGATGCATTCAAGTATTCTGCAGTATCAGCTGAGCCCATCCGTCTCTAATTCCTACCAGCATTCCTATAAACTTTGCAATAAATAAAATAAGACGTCTTGATTTATACTTCTTTAGGGACTTTGCCTCACTCATGATTGTGTTGTTTATGTAACCTCTCAGGGAAGAGGTAGAGGAGTTTGGAATAAAACCCTTCCATGTTTGATCTTTTGAAATTATGAGGATTTGCAAGATTTACTGTTTTACAGCCTTCTTTTGGGTTGATGATTTCATACTTTCCTATTTTCATACCAGGTTTAAGAAGAGAGCTTGCTTGTGTCAGTTTGCCAAGGAACACTGATTGGCAGTTTTCTAATTTCATTTTGAATCGCATTTAATACTAGATTTGGTAAATGCTCAATGCTCTTGATGAAGGAAGTAGATACACTTTTTTTTTTTTTTTTAAATAGATAGCTTGGTGCTTGACAGAGAAGCCTTTGTTAAGCACATCATGACCCCCTTGTGGTTGCTTTAAGAGGCACAATCCAGCTAGCCCATAGTTGTAGCCACATAGACCTAGCCTAACCTCGGAATTGATTGCTTGACTATTTGCAAAGAACTTTTGGTCCACTGTTGAATTTGTTGTGAATTATAACAAATCATAATACAGTTTCTTCTTTTTGCCTGTTCTGTAGCTTGATTGCACATTGATCCAATCCTCCTAACAACTAGTCTTCCAAAATATAAATGGACTCTCCTGATACCACATTCTCCTTCAGTAGTGCTTCACTTGACAAGGCCCTGCTAAGGTAGTAGAATTTGGTTATTTCCATTTCTGTATCAAAATCTCTGACTATGGGGAATTTTGTTGAAACAAATTGGTTGGCTTCGGGCTAACCAAAAGTCAAGTTCCCTTAATTCTGTTTGGTCTTACAAAGAGGGGTACGTAATTCTGTATTTGCTTGTGTCAGTACCTCTAAGTAGCATCCATGAGCATGTAACAGTTCTAATTGCATCTTAGAGATGGGGCAGAAGTCATCTTTTAAAAGCAGTTTTTCTAAGACACTCCCTAAGAACCACAGGGACTTATTTTAATATGGGCTGTCTGGTTCTTTGTGAAAACCTTGATGTCATTCGTGTGTCCCTTTAGTGTACCTTAATTCTGTCCAGTTTACCATCATCTGCCTCTCTATCACTTAATAGTTCTCCTGCTTGTCCACTCATTCCTTCCACTATGCCCAATGGCCTTATTCTTCTTCTCAAAAATATTTTGATCCACTTACAGTGGTGGAAATCTGGCATCTTTAGTGAAGGCTAATTTTATCCCAACTCAGGTAATGAATTGGAATGGGATTATTCCTTTATCAGAGTGCTGATGAATCATTCGTCTTTGCTAATCCAATTAAATAACTTTCCCATCCCTATGTTAGTCTCCTCCAAATTTTAGAATATTCTTTCTTTTTCCTTTCTTTTCCCCTTTCCTTTCCTCCCTTTCCCTTCCCCTTTTCCTTTCCTTTCCCCTTTCCTTACTTTCCTTTAGGTTCAATTCTGACAGAAAACCCCAAAAAGCAAAAAGGTAAAAGTTTAGGGGCGCCTGGGTGACTCAGTTGGTTAAGCATTTGACTCTTGGTTTCGGCTCAGGTCATGATCTCAGGGTCGTGGGATCTAGCCCTGCATCAGGCTCTACACTTAGCTCGGAGTCTGCTTGAAATTCCTCCCCCCCGTCCCCCACTCATGCTCTCTCTCTAAATAAATAAAATAAAATAAAATTAAAAAAGGTAAAAGTTTATTGCTTTTGCGCATAAGAGATAGTTGTGTAGCTCTAGTCCAAGAATTCCTCAGGTACCTAGGCTGCTTCTTAGTTCCTTGTCACTCCTAAGATGTGGTCTCTACCTCATGATGAAGATGGCAGCATTCCTTTCCAGGCAGGAGGGTAGATATAGGAATTGGGGGGGGTGGGGAGAGAAGCCAAAGACAGCGGTTTCTTAAGTAAATTTCCTGGAAACTGTCAAAGGATTTGTTTGCTTCCATCTCATTAGCTGGAACTTAGTCATTTGGTGAGACCTAACTGGGAGGGAGGATGGGAAATACAGTCTTTATTCTGGGTGGTTAATATGCTCAGTTAAAAGTGGTGTAACTAGAAGTTGGGGTGAGTAGATAGTAGGGAATATAAGTAGTGTTCTCCAATATCCTTTGTTGTTGTTGTTATTCCTGGCTCACATTTTTTTCTCTATAATGGCAGCTTGGTGTAGTGGATATGAGCTCTGTGTCTTTGGGCAACTCATATAACATCCCCAAGCTTCAGTTTCCATGTGTGTTTAATGAGGAGTAGTACAAAGTATGCAAATACTTTATAACTGTTAAATATAAGATATTCTTTACTAGAAATTTACCATCTTAGTTGCTGATTCTTCTAATAATATGGTCATAATTCCTTGTCTTTACCAATGAACAGTTTTGATTTCCATTTCCTTCAACTGTATGGGGGCATAGCCACACCTTGTAAATGCCATCTTTAGAATTTTGCCTTCTGAAAGTCCTCTTTCTGTCCATAAACTTTGTAGTCCCACAGTTCTTCATTCCAGTTCTTTTGCTGAACATGCCTCTCATCATGACTTCCTGTGGATTAAGACTTTATCAACTTCTTTCTTGTCTGTCTTGCCTCTATTCTGTATGTTTCCCAAGGTCAGGCAAATCAGTGATGTTCTTGCTAGCATCCCAAGTCCTCATTTACCAAATATTTATTATATACATTGTTAGAATATCAGTCAGTTGGGAAAAGACATCAGATAAGTAATTTACAACATAGTGTGACGATTCTTTCATGGAGGAATGCATAGGATGCAGCCAGAGCACAGGAAAAGGGGAGGGTCTTGGTTGTTTTGGAGAACTGAGGAGTGATGAGGAGCTAACAAGTGAATGAGACTGTGAAGCAGGACTCTCTGAAAGCAAAATGTATTTAAAGGAAAAGTGGCTTGATATGCCTAAAACATAAAGTGAGTACTGAGAGTCGTGAAAAATGAGACCTGACAAGTGAGCAGGGGCCAGATTACAGAGGGCCTTGTTAGGGATTTTTAGATCTGATCTTGTAGGCCAGTGGTTCATCGCCCATTTACCCCTGACAGGGCTAGACAGACCCATATAGTACACATTATAGACAGTGCCATACCATACCTGGATCGCAATAGTTAGGATGCCTTCACAAATAAAATAGGCTTTTTGAGTTTGTTTTGACCTCTCATGGCTGCTGCTTTTCTTTTTCTGTCTGGCACTTTTTCCTCCTCGTACTTTTGTTTCCCAAATTTAGGATTCCTTACAAAGCCAGTGTTGGCCCTATTTCTCTATTTTTTCCTCTGGTGATCTCATTTAGTCTAATAACTTTAGCTCCATTTGCCCATTTCTGATTGCATATTGCATACTCGGTATCTCCAACTGAAAGTTCCTTGTGTCATTTAAATGTATCATCTCTGATCTTTTTTTTGTATTTTTGTTTTTGTTAGTGGCGCTACCATCCTCTGCCTGCAAATTTGGAATATAGAGTCCTCTCTGTTCCTTGCTATTCCCGTGGCTGCTAACCTAGTTCAGAACCTCATTAACCTTGCTGGGATGATTTTAATAGCTATCTAGTTTCATCCTGCCTCTAGTCTTGTTTCTTTCCTTCCAATTTATTATGCCCTGTGGCCAGACTTATCTTCCTATGATTAGAAATACAATTCTGCCCATGCTGCTAAAAAAAACTATCATTGTCCACAGCTGAACTTTCAGCAGTATTTTTTCAACTAGTTTTCTTCACCCACATATGTATCCGCCAAATGGACTAATTTCTTCTTCCCTATATATTCCTTAAACTTTTCCACCATTATGCCCTTGCTGCCATGTTTCTGTTGCCTGTATTTCTTTTCTCCATCTTTACTTACCAAATGCCTTACTTCACGGTCTAGCTCAAGTGACTTTGCTGGAATTTCTCAGCTGGAAAAAAAACATTTTCTTTTTACATGAAACTCAATATAGTTTATTCAGTTCTTCCAGTTACTAGCTGAATAACCTTGGGCAGATTATTTAAGAGCTCTTTTATCTCAGTTTCCACATCTGTGAAATTGGGATAATACTATATTTAATTAGTTCTGAGACATTTCTATGTTTTAACATCTCTGAAATAGGAATTTGTCTTATAATCGATTACATATTGAAGTTTAATTGGCAGATTTTTTTTTTCTCAGTACGTAAAGTAGCATGCATCTCATACTTGATAGTATCTTAAAGTTGGTGTCATATGGTAACAGTATAAAATCGTGGTCTTGGCGTAAGAATTAAAGGATCTTTGTGTAAATGCATGGTACAACACAGGCCCAAAGTAGTGCTCAATAAATGTTAGCTGTTACTAGGTATAGGCGACCCTTAAATTATGGCCCATGGAGTCCTAAAAGGGGGAATCAGTTGGAATGTCATTGAGTCGAACCCTTATTTCTGTAGTTGCTATGTTTACATTTTATGACATGTAAATGCTAAAGTTGGTCATGAAAAGAAGTAGAAATGAAGTGCGTCAAATATATTTTATACACATTTGTCAAAAAGAAGGGTCAATCATATTTTAAAAGCTTTATTATAATTACTTTTCAGGGACTTCTTTTTAGCGTGGGCTGGACTATCTGAGGCGTATTAAACTATGAGTCCAGTGAGTCTTATCTTCTTGACAAATACTTTCATAGTAATCATAGATATTCATCATGCTTCAGGTACTTTTAAACTTCAATTAAAATGAAGGCAGATGTCTTGAAAATTTTATTGATAATGAATATTTATGAAGGCTTCAGAAGTTCTTGAGTAGGAAAAGCTGAGTATTTTCGTTGGTGACTTCTTCAGAGATCTCCTTGCCCTTTCATTTCAGAAAGAGGTTGCTGAGCTGCTGCAAACCTTGACAGGGGCCAGTGCTTCCCAGGGCTGGAGTGAGGCACAGGCTTTTCTCAGGGGCTCAGCAGCAATCACAGGTGGCCTGCATTTTTCTTGTTTACTCTTCTAATGGTTCTGAATATCAGTTTAATTTGTTTTTGTTTTTCTACTTTCATTCCATTGTTTTAGCTTTGCCGTTTAGCCAGAATTTGTTGAGTTTCTAGATACTGCCAGGCACTGATATAGGAGCTCTCATAATTTTTATAGTATTCTTATGGGGGAAGAGATATAAACATATATACTATCAGGCATCAGGCTGTAAAATGGTATATATGCTTTCTTATTTATATAAATGTTGATTTGCATGTCTTGACTTGCTTAACAAATTGTAAGCAATTTGATGTTTGGATTCATGGCTAATTTTATAATTCCATGAAAGATGGTAGAGACTCAATAATTGGTGAAAGAATAAAGTTTGGTTCTAGGGATGATGTGGGAGAAAGAGATAGTTAGAAGACACAAACTCTAACAAATTAATATTTACTGTTTGTCATGGAGATTCTAAATTATACCTTAGAATATATAAGTTTAAAAATTAGTGATAATACTGAGTATCAGTGGATAGTTTCTGATGAAACATCAAACTTTTTTTGTCATTCTGTTTGGGAATTTTTTAGAATGTAATTTTCCATGTATCGATGGAAATTTTGAATTAAAAGGTAAATTACTTAATTATTTTAATTGATCTGATAAAACTCCCAAGAGTTTATCTACTATAGGTATTTTTTTTTTCAAATTAAAGATAACCCTAGATTTAAATAGAAAATTGATGAGTGTGGTATCATTTGAATGGTTCAGTATGTATTTGTGGAAATGGAAATACAGACTAGGGATGTATATATAATTTTCACTACCCAGTAATATCATATTACCCAGTTTTCGGGACTGGGTAGTGATATTTTGCTAATAAGAAAAGTATTTGCCTTAGGAAGCATATTAATAACTTAATCTCTGTGTATATTTTCTTGCAGTATTATCAGAAAACCCACCCAGTTTCACCATTACTGTGACATCTGAGGCTGGAGAAAATGATGAAAGTAAGTCCAATCAAAAATACTTATGGTTTTCCTAAGTTGCTCTCAGGAATGTTACTCCTTCTTGCAGCCATTATGTTGGTCATTGAAGATGTGGAGGTGCTAATAAGTAAGGTGCTGTTAGGAATCTAGCATGAATGTTGTGTATCTCTAATTAGCATTTACTATGTAAACATGACTTAGAGAGGAAGTCAGTGAGATATATTCTGACACAATGAACTTAGTTTTAAAAAGTGAAAAAGAAACATTAACAATATAGCAAATGGAGAAAAGGTAGAAGATTACGGTCTAAAACGAGACTTCGAATGCATGCCTATTTCAGTGACTGTGTGGTATTCCATTGAGTGTTATTTTTCCATGATTGTTTTTCCTCTTTGGGTATTTAGATTGCTTATTGGACATTTGCTGTTTATTTATAAATTAAGCTGGATGGGGGGCCTGGGTGCTCAGTCGTTAAGCGTCTGCCTTCGGCTCAGGTCATGATCCCAGGGTCCTGGGATCGAGCCCCACGTTGGGCTCCCTGCTCAGCGGAAAGCCTGCTTCTCCCTCTCCTTCTCCCCCTGCTTGTGTTCCCTCTCTCGCTGTGTCTCTCTCTGTCAAATAAATAAAATCAAAAAAAAAAATTAAGCTGGATAAATGTCTTTCTTTATGATTTTCTCTCTTTAGGATGGATATTTTACTGTAGTTCAAATACATTTATACATACAACCAGGTAAAAGCCACCATTACACAACTGTAGAACTAAGATAAATATACTGATGGAAATAAAACAGCTGTAAAACCAATAATTTACAATTAAATAGATTGATTTAAACGTGGCAGATGTTGGGGGAGGATCTGAAGTTCATTTCCACCATTAGTCCAGTTCAGTTAATTTTGGAATTTGGTAAAAATGTTCCATAAGTTGTTGTTAACCCCAAGGATTTTTTTTTTTTTTTTTTTTAGCATTAAGCTAGTCAACTGAAATTCTGCTACGAGCAGTCAGTAATGCAAATTTTAGCGATATTACTTGATAACTCTAAATCTGTCTTGTACAACTGAAAATGAGATTAGCAAAGAGCTGTTACTAAAATCTGAATTAAAAAGATGTTGGACACAGTCATTTATTTCTATATGTATTTATATATATGTAGGTTTTATACAAAGAATCTCAAATACAGGGGTGCCTGGGTGGCTCAGTCGTTGGGCGTCTGCTTCGGCTCGGGTGGTGGTCCCGGGGTCCTGGGATCGAGCCCCACGTTGGGCTCTCTGCTCAGCGGGAAGCTTGCTTCTCCCTCTCCCACTCCCCCTGCTTGTGTTCCTTCTTCCGCTGTGTCTCTCTCTGTCAAGTAAATCAATAAAATCTTTTAAAAAAAAAGAAAAGAATCTCAAATACAACCTGAGTATCCTTTTATACTTTGTTTGAAATGTAAATAAATGTATAGAAGATACTTTAAAATATCCTTTAAAAAATACTTTTAGTGATCTTTTCCTGATGGTGGGATTATTACTGATTTTGTTTCCCCCTTCATATATTTCTAAATTTTCTATAATGAATGTCTATTACATCAAATAGTAAAATCAATAAATGTATAAAAAAATTCTTGTTCTAGCAATAAAATTAGAAATGTGCTAGTTAAGAAAGAAAATGCCAAAAGACACTGTGTATCCTTATTGGCCTAACAGTCTTTTTTTTTTAATTTAAATTTTACTTAGGTAACATACAGTGCAACATTGGTTTTAGGAGTAGAATTCAGTGGTTCATCACTTACATATAACACCCAGTGCTCATCATAACAAGTGCCTTCTTTAATACTCATCACTCATCTAGCCCACCCCACACCCACCTTCCTCCATCAACCCTCAGGTTGTTCTCTGTAGTCAAGAGTCTCTCATGGTCTGTTTCCCTCTTCTTTTTTTTCTTTTCCCCCTACCCATATGTTCATCTGTTTTCTTTCTTAAATTCCACGTAAGAGTGAGTTCATATGATATTTGTCTTTCTCTGACTGACTTATTTCACTTAGCATAATACACTCTAGCTCCATCCACATCATTGCGAATGGCAAGATTTCATTTTTTGTTGTTGTTGGCTGAGTAATACTCCATTGGTATATATACCACATCTTTATCTGTTCATCAGTCGATGGACATTTGGGCTCTCTCCAGAGTTTGGCTATTGTTGATAATGCTGCTGTAAACATCGGGGTGCATGTACCCTTTCGAATCTGTATTTTTGTATCTTTTGGGTGAATACCTAGTAGTGCAGTTGCTGGATCGTAGGGTAGTTCTGTTTCTTACCTTTTTTTTAAATAATTTTTTTATTATGTTAGTCACCATACAGTAACTTTTTTTTAAAAGATTTATTTATTTTAGAGAGAGAAAAAGAGAGAGTGTGTGTGTGTGTGTCGGGGGGGTGGTGCTAGGGGCAGAGGGAGAGGAGAGAATTCCAAGCAGGCTCTGCACTGAGCACAGAGCCCAGTGGGGTCTGTGCCACAACCCATGAGATCTTGACCAAGACCAAGAGGATGTTCAACCAACTGAGCCATGTAGGCAGCCCTATTTTTAACTTTTTGAGGAACGTCCAAACTGTTCTCCAGAGTGGCTGCACCAGCTTGTGTTCCTACCAGTAGTGCGAGAGTGCTCCTCTTTCTCTGCATTCTCACCAACACCTGTTGTTTCTTATGTTGTTAATTTTAGCCATTCTGACAGGTGTGAGGTGGTATCTCATTGTGGTTTTGATGTGTATTTCCCTGATGATGAGTGATGTTGAGCATCTTTTCATGTATCTGTTAGCCATCTGTATGTGGCATCTTTAGACAAGTATCTATTTGTGTCTAATGCCCATTTCTTAACTGAGTTGTTTTTTGGCTGTTAAGTTTGGTAAGTTCTTTATAGATTTTGGATACTAACCCTTTATCAGATATGTCATTTGCAGATATCTTCTCCCATTCCATAGGCTGCCTTTTAGTTTTGTTGATTGTTTCCTTCACTGCGCAGAAGCTTTTTATATTGATGAAGTCCCAGTAGTTCATTTTTGCTTTTGTTTCCCTTGCCTCCAGTAATGTCTCTAATAAGTTGCTACAGCTGAGGTCAAAGAAGTTTCTGCTTATGTTCTCCTCTAGGATTTTGATGGTTTTCTGTCTCACACTTAGGTCTTTCATCCATTTTGAATTTATTTTTGTGTATGGTGTAAGAAAGTGGTCCAGTTTCATTCTTCTGCATGTTGCTGTCCGGTTTTCCCAACACCATTTGTTGAAGAGATTGTTTTTTTTTCCTATCGGATATTCTTTATTCCTTCTTGCTTTGTCAGAGAGTAGTTGACTATGTAGTTGTGGGTCCATTTCTGGGTTTTCTGTTCTGTTCCTTTGATCAGCGTGTCTATTTTTGTGCCAGTGCCATACTGTCTTGATGACTACAGCTTTGTAATGTAGCTTCAAGTCCAGAACTGTGATGTCTCCAGTTTTGTTTTTCTTTTTCAAGATTGCTTTGGCTATTCGGGGTCTTTTGTGGTTCCATACAAATTTTAGGATTGTTTGGTCTAGCTCTGTGAAAAATGCTGGTGGTATTTTGGTAGGGATTTTATTGAATGTGTAGATTGCTTTGGGTAGTATAGACATTTTAACAGTGTTTTTTCTTCTAATCCATGAGCTTGGAATATTTTTCCATCTCTTTGTGCCCTTTTCAATTTCTTTCCTAAGTGTTCTATAGTTTTCAGAGTATAAATCTTTTACCTCTTTAGTTAGGTTTATCCCTAGGTATCTTATCGTTTTTGGTACAGTTGCAAATGGAATCGATTCCTTGATTTCTTTTTCTGCTGCTTCATTATTGGTGTATAGAAATGCAACAGATTTCTGCACATTGATTTTATATCCTGCAACTTTGCTGAATTCATGTATTAGTTCTAGCAATTTTTTGGTGGAGTCTTTCAGGTTTTCTACATAGAGTATCATGTTGTCTGCAAATAGTGAAAGTTTGACTTCTTCCTTGCCAATTTGGATGCCTTTTATTTCTTTTTGTTGTATGATTGTTGAGGCTAAGACTTCCAGTACTCTGTTAAATGGTAATGGTGAGCATGGACATCCTTGTCTTGTTCCTGACCATAGGGGAAAGGCTCTCAGTTTTTCCCCATTGAGGGTGATATTAGCTGTGGGTCTTTTCGTATATGGCCTTTATGATGTTAAGGTATGTTTCCTCTATCCCTACTTTGTTGAAGGTTTTTATCAAAAATGGATGCTGCATTTTGTCAGATACTTTTTCTGCATCTATTGAGAGGATCGTATGGTTCTTGTCCTTTTTTTAATTAATGTGGTGTATCACATGGATTGATTTACGAATATTGAACCACCCTTGCAGTCCAGGAATAAATCTCACTTGATCATGGTGAATGATTCCTTCAATGTGCTGTTGGATTCAATTTGCTAGTATTTTGTTGAGAATTTTTACATCCATGTTCATCAGAGATACTGGCCTGTTATTCTCCTTTTTAGTGGGGTCTTTGTCTGGTTTTGGAATCAAGGTAGTGCTGGCTTCGTAGAATGAGTTTGGAAGTTTTCCTTCCATTTCTATTTTTGGAACAGTTTGAAGAGAATAGGTATTAACTCTTCTTTAAATGTCTGGTAGAATTCCCCTGGGAGCCATCTGGCCCTGGACTTTTATTTGTTGGGAGATTTTTGATTATTGATTTAATTTCTTTGCTGGTTATGGGTCTGTTCAAATTTTCTATTTCTTCCTTTTTCAGTTTTGGTAGTTTGTAGGTTTCTAGGAATTTACTGATTTGCTTCCTGGTTGCCCAATTTGTTGGCATATAATTTTTCATACTATTCTCTTATAATCATATTTCTGTGATATTGGTTGTGATCTCTCCTCTTTCATTCATGATTTTATCTATTTGGGTTAACAGTCTTTCTTATATCCATTGACTCATAAAAATCCTTATTGATACCATACACAAAAATTAAAACAAAATATCAAACTCACACATTTTAAGATGTTTTTTTTTCTCTTATGGGGAGGAATCTAGATTTGAGTTAAAATTATCAAAATCAAGAGTTTTTAATAATTAAAAATGTGAGTTTTTACAAGAAAGGCAAAGTCTAGACAAAGGATCATTGTGATTAATAAGTTTTATTTTTTAATTTTTTTTTTTTTTTTTTGTGAATAGTAATTTTTAACAGAAAATGTTTAGCACTGCTGCTTAGTTGCAAATTGCCTGGTGGAATTGAGAATTCACCAGTTGGTCTATAGAGAGATACCTTGCATTGATCTGCCTGTAAGGATCTCATTCCTATACAAATGTCAGATGTATGCATTGATACAGGCCAAAAGAGTGAGTGAGCATGTATAAATGAGTCAGGTTAAAAGTTTCTCAGACAGCCTCTTAAACCCTATTTCAAAACCGTGTCATCTAGCAACCCCTTAGCAGTGCCCTGCTGGCATTGTGCATATAGAAATATAGACTCCAGGACTAATGCCAGATCTTCCTCACTGGGCACTGGCTCTGGTAGAGGCCTGAAAATAAGCCTAAGGTAGTATTTTTTTTCTATGTATTGTATTCTGTGCCTTTTGTTCATCTTAAGGAGGATTTTAAAAAGAGTGGCTTTATCCATCCTCTTTCTCAGATATGCAATATGGTAAAATACTCATAAGTAATAAATGTATTTCATGTGTTTGAGGTGATTTTTGGTATTCGCATGATCTGTTTTCACTTATCTTTGCGGTATGTGTTATTTATCTTAGTGATTATCTGTCTGATCTCATAGTAACCTTGTTTTTCTTTGCAGGAAAATCTGTTGTGCTATGTTTCATTGACACGTTGTGAATTAATTACTAATTCAACAAAAATGTTGACCTCCCTACATTTTCAGATACTCATATCAAACTCTTATCTTATGTCTTTAGCTGTCCAGACTACCCTCAAGTTTACATACAGTGAAAAATACCCAGATGAAGCTCCTCTTTATGAAATATTCTCCCAGGAAAATCTAGAAGATAATGATGTCTCAGACATTTTAAAACTATTAGCATTACAGGTAAGGAAATAAGTTTAGTAGTGGCATTTTTTATTGGCCTTAAATAGTATACATTAATTTCAAGAGTAAGAAAATGCTAGTAAATATGTATAACCAGTACATTGAACAAGGAGAATTCATGATGTATCTCTCTCTCTCTCTCTCTCCCCCTCTCTATGTATATGTATAGATATAGATATTCACAAAGCACCTTAATTTTTGTTTCCCATTGTACATTTAAAATTTGAGTAAGAGAAGTTGTCCCTTCTCTTGAAACTCAGTCAGCCTCATGACTTCTAGTTAATAAAATGTCTGGTAAGTACTTTAATTTTAAACACACTTTTGATCTGGTTCTCAGAATGTCCAGCCCCATGTGCAGTTAAAAATTCTGACTTTTAAAAAAATTCAAACTCCCAACCCCTCTGACCTGTTGCAGGCTAGTTGCCTGCAATCTGGGAAGAGGACTGGTGATTGTTTTGTTTTTCTTATCTTTCTGTCTCCTGAGGCTTAACAAGCAGCAGCCAGGGTTTATGATCCCTTTGAGAGCGGGGGCTGTGAAGGCAAAATGGGTCTTGGAAAATTCTTGGCTAGTTCTCTGGTAGGATAGGCTCCCCATAGTTTGGGCTTAGCCAGAATTTAAAGCTCTGTCTTGCTTGGGTTGAGAGTTTTCATGGATTCTTCAGAGTAGGGAGTAGGGAGGACAAGTAAAATCTTTACTCCACAATGTTATAAACAGAAGTCCTAGCTTTGTTTGTGTGTTCTAAGAAGAATTGAGAGAAAACATATCTATACCTTAAATGTGACTGGTATATTTCAAGGATTATTGGTCCTCTGAATGCTGATATTTAAAAAATATCTGGAGCTATTAGAGAATGAAGAGTGAAAGAAGATAGATCAAACATGAATTTATTCTTATCTTGGGCCCTGTTCATTCTGCTACCCCATATGAGATTATACTAATTCTAATATTTGACTTAAAATGCTTCATTTTAAAACATTGCAGAGAACCTGGGGCAGTATGCTATATTCAGTCATTTATTAATGAAAGTTATTTGAGCTGAGTGATTACTTTCTATGTGTTTTATATTTTATTTGCACTCAAGCTCCTTCCTTTCAGAAAAGAAATTTTGATTTCTTTCTCATACCTGAGATCGGATATATTGAGGGAATATTTGTACTTTTTTTTCCAAATTATATTGATTTTTAATATCAAAATAGTAAATTCATATTATAAAAAACTCAGAAAGTATAGGAACTCATGAAAGAGAAAATTAAAATTACTCTTAATCTCACCAACCAGGTATAACTGCCTATTAACATTTTGGTATGATATAGTTCCAGATTTTTTTTGCTTATGCTTATATTCATAGTACTCCTCTTCTACCCCAAGTTAGATCATTCTGTATATAATGTTTTATAACATCCTTTTTTTCACATAACGATATATGTGGGTATCTTTCCATTTTAGTAAACATGTATATGAGTCATCATTTTTGATAACTGCATAGAATTTCACTGTATGTATGTGTAATTACACCTATCCTTTTTGAAACAATTATTTATCATTTTTACCTGATTTAATATGTAATTCTTTGGACATGCTTCTTCTTCTTCTTTTTTTTTTTTTTTTTAAGAGGGGGAGGGGCAGGGGCAGAGGGAGAGAGAGTCCCAAGCAGGCCCCACACCCAGTGCGGAGCCCAACATGGAGCCTGATCCCACAACCCAGAGATCACGCCTGAGCCAAAATCAAGAGTCAGACACCCAGCCGACTGAGCCACCCAGGTGTCCCTTTGGACATTCTTATATATCACTATTTGTAAGTCCTTAGAGCAGAGTCTCCATTGAATCCCTAGTGCCTGGCATATAGTAGACACTCAGATATTTTTTGAATAAATGAGGAAAGTATATTATTGATGAGTATACTAGTCCAGTGTTTTCTATAAGTAAGATTACTGGGTTAAAGGTTATGCATACTTAATTTCATACACATTGCCAAATGGACCTTCAAAATGATTGTGCCAAGTTATGATCTCACTGTAGGCATTGAGGTGTCTGCCCACATCTGCTAACATTAGATTTTTTCATTTAGAAAGAAAAGCAATGATAACAAGATGAAAATAGTATATAATCATAATTTGAAATTCTTTAATTAGTAGTGATATGGAAATCTCCTGTGTGACTTCTCGCCTAGTTTCATATAAATGATTGTTTTTTTGGCTTTTCTATTGGAATACTTAAGTTGTTAAAAAAGAGATCCTACTGGGATTTGTTTTTGAAATGTATCAAGCATTAAGTTAAGTGACCAAGACAGACACCATCCCTTCTTTCATAGATTTTATATTCTGGTGAGGAATGTGGACTAGCAAATTGGAAATTGTTATTCTGTGTGGAAAAATGCTGTGAGTGGATGTAGACTTGAGGTACTGGAGAAGCTTTCAAGGGAAAGAGTTTGCCAGGCAAAAAAGAGAAGAGTTTCAGGGCAGAGGAGCGAGCTTGTTAAGCATCATGGAAATGAGAGGGAGAAGAGATCAATATTTCCTTCCAGAACTTCTAGTCATACTAAATTTCTTGAGTTTAGAATTTGAGATTAGTGATCTTATGTGATGGAACTAAAGAGATTAATTCCCAAAGGGTCTTCTGAACTGTTTTAAAAGTATGTTCTTGCTCCTGGTTGGTTTGGAAAGCTGTTGAGTTTTAAGCAAGAGACTGACTAGTTCAGTTATGTGTGTATATTGAGTGGCTAGAGAAGTTGATGTTAGGGGTGACAAGACCACAGGTTTTAAGAAAACCAGTTAGGAGTTTCTTGTAATATTTGAAGTTGAAGATGATGGTGCTCTGGGTTAGGGTAATACCAATGTTGGTAGGGAACAGTAGGCAGATTGAAATGATATTTAAGAATAGATTAGAGGCAGTGATAGAGCTTATGATGGCTTGTGAGTGTTCATGCTGGCTGGTTGGTGGTTTGGTTCTCTGAGTTGGGAACATAGAAATAGGTTTTGTGGAGAAGATGATGATTTTAGTGTTCACGTGCCTGTGCGACATCATATTGCTGTCCACTGGGCAGTTTTAATTGGGTTTGGCATTCAAGAGAGAGGTTTGTGTAGTCAGATTTAGGATGGTTAGCATGGAGACACCACAGAGAAGCCCTGAAGAGAATCACAGGAGCTTGAAGCCTTGTATTCAGAGAGGACCCACGAGATGAAATACCTACTCATATGCCGCTGAGACCAGCCCTGTCAAAGGAGTGGTTGGAAATCTCTTCTGCTTCTAGGATGGAGATTCTGGCTTGTATATTTGGGATTTTTGTGTGTGTGTGTTTTGGTCTGTTTCCTTCAAACTGTATCTTGTTTCTGTGGATAAGCAAGGTACCTTGTTTTACTTTAATCTACTTTCAAATGACCAACTTCCAAATAGCTTTTGAATTACAGTTGACCTTTGAACAACGCAGAGGCTAAGGGACACTGACCTTCCTTCCACACAGTCAAAAATCTGTGTGTAACTTTTGACTCCCCCCCAGAACTACTACTAACTGGCAGGAAGCTTTACCCATAACATAAACAGTTGTTTAATGCATATTTTGTATGGTATATGTACTATATACTGTATTCTTAAAGTAAGCAGAGAAAATGTTATTAGAAAGTCATAAGAGAAAATACATTTATAGTACTATACTGTATTTATTGAAAAAAAAAATGGATGTAAGTGGACCTGTGCAATTCAAACCTATATTGTTCAAGGGTCAACTGTATATCCCTTTCATGAGTTGGAGAACTTTTATATTTGATTTTAAGCCATTTCAGATTGGAGAAAAAAAGGTAGGTAAAGATAAATCACCAAAAGTACCTACATTCTTTATTATTGTATATTAGAAAATCACTTTGGCCTCAAAGTTCAGTTCATTGTCACAGCTCTTTAAAATATCCCAAAAGATCTAAATCATGAAAATATGGTGGAGAACTCATGTTACTAGCTGCTATAGGAAAAGGTTTTCTGGGGACACCTGGGTGGCTCAGTCAGTTGGGCGTCTGCCTTTGGCTCAGGTCAGGATCTCAGGGTCCTGGGATCAAGTCCCACTTCGGGCTCCTTGCTCAGTGGGGAGCCTGCTTCTCCCTCTGCCCGCCACTCCCCCTGCTTGAACTCTCACTCTCTCTCTCTCTAGCAAATAAATAAATAACATCTTTAAAAAAAAAAAAAAAGGAAAAGGTTTTCTGAATTCTGGTTATTAAACAGAAATTAGTAAAAAGATATCTGTTTCAGGTTGGATGTAGCAAATTACATGTCTTTTTAAATTTAATATATAGTTATTCATATATATGTATGTATGTGCTCAATTCTTTTTTTTTTTTTTTAAAGATTTTATTTATTTTTATTTTGAGAGAGAGAGAGCACAAGAGGGGGGAGCGGGAGAGGGAGAAGCAGACTCCCTGCTGAGCAGGGAGCCTGATGTGGGACTCGATCCCGGGACTCCAGGATCATGACCTGAGCCGAAGGCAGTCGCTTAACCAACTGAGCCACCCAGGTGCCCTGTATGTGCTCAATTCTTAAATGATCATTTATCCAAGTGTCTGAACTTACGTATAACTGAATTAGTAATCATATTATAAGTGTATGGAATTTAGTGATTATGATGAAACACTTTTTCATTGGTTAGTTTTTTGTTTTGTTTTTCTGAGAAGTATGTTTCTCACTACAATCTTTCTTTTGGTTACATAGGCAGAAGAAAACCTTGGTATGGTGATGATCTTTACTTTAGTGACAGCTGTGCAAGAAAAACTAAATGAAATAGTAGATCAAATAAAAACTAGAAGAGAAGAAGAAAAGAAACAAAAAGAAAAAGAGGCAGAGGAAGCTGAAAAGGTATATTATAAAGCTGGGTTTTCTTTCATTATTTTTTACATCTTTTTTTTTTTTTTGGTTGTTTGGTGGGTTTTTTTGTTTTTAGAAATTTCAGTGATTTTTTTGGCAATCACAAAATAAGCAGAAGTAAATTTTACTTAAATTTTGCTACTTAAGATGTTAGAAGTCACTGCATTGGTCACATAGCATCGGTAATGATTAATAAGGGTTAGTAGAGCTCATGCAGGTAAGATCAAGAAATATACATTATTTCTTTATAAATTACAATTTTATTATAAATTATAAGCCTCATTTATCTAACCACATCTTTTTTATTTTCTAAGCAATTATTTCATGGCACTCCTGTTACAATTGAGAATTTCTTAAGTTGGAAGGCCAAGTTTGATGCAGAGCTCTTGGAAATTAAAAAGAAACGAATGAAAGAAGAAGAACAAGCAGGAAAAAATAAATTAAGTGGTATGACTCCCCTCACCCCTGCCCAGGCTGTTCTATATTCTTGCACAAGAAGAAGATCATTTGGACAGACTTCTATAAAAATATAACATACTTAGGCATCTAGGACAAAAAGAGAAAGCATTCTGCCTACATGATGACATTTCTTCATTCATAATTATGATTAATTTTTATGGCTTATCTCTGATCTAAATATCTCAATGGATAGATCTTGAGATATAGCTACCACGACATTCAGAATCACAAGCGTTAGAAGTGGTAGAGTCAAATGCATTTGTTTTTCTGGGGTTCTGAAGCAGACTGGGTTTTCACTTGTTCCATTTTAATGCAGATACATATCACATGCCTCTTAGCTACTTACTGAATTGATAAATTTATTGAAATTCATAGAAAAATAGGTTTTCAGACTTGTTTTCTTGGATTATTTTACTTTTTAAAGGATTGTAGGGAAGATGGAGGAAAACTGGAACATACAGGAAAAATATGTTTGAATTGAACATATTTGTTTCTTTTAGGGAAACAGCTCTTTGAAACAGATCATAATCTTGACACATCTGATATCCAGTTTTTGGAAGATGGTAAGATAATACTAAGATTCCACGTGTACATAATACACCATTTTTAATATTAAACCATGAAAATCAGAGTGATAACTTAATGTAAAATTTTCCTCCCAAGGCTATAAACAAATACATTTTGAAGAATAAATTTTAATGCTTGATTTATTTATACACTAAACTATAGCAATGTATTTTTTAAAGTTTTTTGATAACTTAAGCAACATCAAAGATGGCAGTAAACAACTATGGTCACATTAGTCTTTAATAACTAGTAAACAAGGCCACTGTAACTCAGGTGGCCTGGTTTACTCAGATTTCTAGTATCAGAAGTCTGTGGAAATTATTTTATGGTCATGGAACTTTATAAAGACCTCAAATCTGGAACTCTTCATGCCCTCTAACCAAAAATCTTATGTTTCATACTAGTCTTACTATCTGGAACACCTACTTCCTTATGCTTTCCTTCTCCTTTTTATCCTAAACTTTATCCTCTTTCAGTCTTCTGTCCATTATTCATCCATCCATAGGTATTTATTGCACCCCTAGTGTAAGCCAAGCGTTGTCCTGGTTGCTGACGATATAGCAGCAGAGAACAGTATAGACAAATTCCCTGCCCTCATGGAGCTTATGGCCTATGTATGTTTCTTAAACTGGGCTCTATACTCAGTCACACTTCTGATAGCACCCTAGAGTTCTACAGTTCATTAGCCTTCTTCATGCTCATCTTGCCAGTTGGGGATCCTGTAGCATTCTGGCCTTTCAATTTTGTTCCTGGACTGTCTTCTGGAAAAGGTTAGGAAGCAATGTTGGTGTGGCCTCACTGCCAAATCATGCTTCTTAACTTGATCTGGGCCCTTATGGACACTCACCATTCTGTTTTATATATCTTACTGCATTCTTGCTCCAGGACATTATAAGTCTTCAAACAAATAAAAACACCCCAAACAAACAAGCAAACAGATAGACAAACCCAGCAAGGTTGTCCTCATGTATCTCTCTCACGTTACTAGCTTGTTTTTCTCCTATTTTATTGAGAAATTCTGGAACTGAAAAGCTGTGTCTCATTCTCTCTTGCATTTTAGAAGTTTTACTATCTTCACTCATCCTTGACTCCTTACCCTAACAGATGAAGTATCTCTTCATATCCAGTAACTAACCAAAAGCTCTCCATTGATTCTGCTTCAGAAGTGTCTTTTCCAGACATTTTCAACTCTTTCCTCCTAACTTGAAGGTTTTATCATTTTTTTGCCCCCTGGGTGTTTGTGGTTGCTTCTTACATTGTCTCCCTGCTTCAGTCTCTTCCTCTTTTTGGTGCCTTTAGTCACCATCCCTGAGGTGGCATTCCTAAAACTCATGTTTAATCATGATACTTCTCTCCTTAAAATCTTTTGATGGTTCTCTATTGCTTAGAGGAAAAGGTTGACCTACACAGTCCTTCAATTTGGCCTTCATCTATGATATCTCCAGATATTTTTCCTAAAGAATCTTGTGTTCCAGTTAGAAGTATTCAGAGTCTTATTTTTTCTTTCTCCCTTTGCATATACCTCTACCTACAATTGCTTCATCCTGCCCCTTTTCTTCTTGCTGGATTAAAATTTATTATAAAGATATTTTAGATGTCATCTGTTTTGGGAACTTGCCTGTCTCTCCCAGAGACAGTGAGTTATTCTTTGGCCTGCACTTAGCAAAGGTGTATTTTATTACTTAACTGCTCATAGGCATGAAGCAAGACTCATTCTCATTGAATTGAATGTCAGTGGGCTGGAGTCTGCCAGGAAAGGAAGATGAACAATTTTTGGTGATTTAAGAGTACTGTACTATCCCACCTTTATGTACTTCAGACAAACTGAAGAGTAAAGATGTTTGATGCAAGGCCGAGGGATTGCTTCCTATAGTGCTCAGATATTTGGAATTTGAGAATGGCATACCATTGGTTATAAGGGGAACTAAGTGAGAGTGAAGATCAAGTTATATCTATCAATTAAATAACAAGTATAGTTGAGCTTTAATGATGTACATATCTGCCAATACTGGAAGACTCCTGGTACGGGCCCCATGGTCGGTGATAATCAACTTTGTTTAACCAGGATATACTATCGTCTTCAACTTATAACATGCCACATCATAAATAATTCATTCTAGGAAAGCTTTTTTTATAACTGGATTTTTTGTTTTTTTAAAACTGGAAGCATGAAGTTGCTCTTAGAATGTGTGTCTCGGCTGATCACTACAGATCGTTGTTGCTCTGATTTGCGGTAGTAGTTTAGGATTTCATCACTGGCACCTCACTTGCACATTTGGAAGTTTGTGTTTGGTGTTGCCAGTGAGTTGTGTCTTTTATTCCTGAATATAAGACTGAAGGTGAAATCTTTTGTCTTTTGCAGCTGGAAACAATGTGGAGGTAGATGAATCTCTGTTCCAAGAAATGGATGACTTGGAGCTAGAGGATGATGAGGATGATCCCGACTATAATCCTGCTGACCCAGAGAGTGATTTGACTGACTAGTGGACTATCCCCATCTGCAGAGAGGTGTGACTGCCACAGCATCTGTGGCTGTGCTGACGTGTTGATTTTTCTTTCTTTTTTTCTAAGAAAAAATAATTTTCAGGAGAATATTCTTCTGATAGCTTTCATCATTGAACTTAATAAACTGACCTTAAAGTTTCAAATATAAAATGTCCAGTTCCTCTTATTGGTAGGAATAAGGTCATATATTTAAAATCATTTAGTGTTAGAGAGAGACCCAGCCTATAACGCTAAGACTTGAAGATAGAATGCAGCTGTGCACAGATGTGTGTTCATATACAAGGAATTGTAGTAACTTGGAATTCCTATGCTGGACACAGTGATGGCTTTATGCTTCTGAGTGCCATCATTAATATAAAATATTAGAAGACAGAGGTGAAGAGAACATTAAACCTTCTGAATTCTAGCCTTTGGGCATGATAAATTTAAGTCTTTACAAAACCAGAAACCTAAATTATATTCAGGATTAAAGTGGACTTTAGTCTTAGAGTAGTATTTGAATCAGCATCCTCTGTGGCGTTATTAAAAGGTGTGCACTCCTAGGCTTTTCTCAGTTTAGGTTATTAAACACTGACCTTAATCTGAATTTTAAAACAGTGAAATCTCATGCCAGTTGACATCGGTTATTCCATTGCATACTCCTTATCCTGTAGTTGTGAAATATATATATATATTTGTGATGTTCCCTTACTTTTCTAATTTAGCCAGTCTGAAAAGATCTGAATTCTTGAGGTTGTACCCTGTCTGCAAGAGAACACATATCCACATTAATGCACATATGAGACCTTTTTCATAATAATTTGGAATGATTGACTTGGGGACTTCAGGTAGGAGAGCCAGGCTTCATGCAAGTTATCCAGTCACTGCAGGTGGAGAATTGAATCTTAATCCTAATAGGAAATTACTTGTGCTATTGCAAATCACTGCCTCCTTTCAAAAGTACATATACTACATATTCACAAGCACAAGCAGATCAATTCCATGTTTATTTTTGGAGTTAGACCTATAGCTAAAATCAAACTATTTAAGACAAAAACTATCATTGAGGAATGTAATACTTTTTCACTAGCTTTGGTTCTGACTAATAAAGGGGAATACCAGGAGTGTTCAGCATATCTCTGCAGAGACAAGTCTGAAAGTTTCTTTTGTGTGAAAATCAACTTTTTCTAAGGAGAGATCCTTTCTGAAGCTGATCAGCAGCTGCATTAAGAACTCAAGAGCACTTTAATTAAGGGTGAGACACGCACTGATGAACAATGCAGTGCTGAGGTCAATGAAGATTGGACCTTAAAGTGTCAAGACTGATTCCATCTCCTCCTCACACATGATTTTTTTTTAAAGTATAAGTTTTTTACATTTTCTATAGGTATTGAAATAGATTCTACCTTTGTCATTTTAGAATCTAGGCAGAACCTGATGTATGGAAATGAAGGCAAAGAGTTAGTTCTAATGATACTCCCAAGTATTTTCATCCGGAGTAAATAATAATATTTCTTTTGTTTTCTGGGAGCTAACCAAAGACTCTGCTTCTCAAACTGGAGCACACATAATCCCAGGATGTGCAAAAGCATGACTGGTGGTATTTGAAGCAATAATTAGGCATCTCAGATTATCAGTTTTGCACTTGGATTTGGGATAATTTTTGCTTTTGTTTCTCTACTTACGCTAAATTGCATAAAATATAAGATTAAAAACAAATACAAGTATGTGTATTCTTTGCTGTATCCCTGTGACAATACCTGGCACTGAATAGGCATCTAATATTTGTTGAATGAGTGAATTACAGAATAGAATGAAAAATTGTCATGCATTTTAAAGGTTAAACATGACCGTTAAATGTTCTGTTTGCCATCTGCAGCTTGGCATAATGCTTCTGGATTCTGCATTACTTCGTACTCTTCTGCCAGCAGGGGTGCCTTAGGAAAAAGGTGGATAAATACTGATCTAAGGCAAACACATCTAAAAGGTTACATGAACATTTCCTAGTTGAGGTCAGACCAGGAAGAGTGATGAATAACATCTCTTATGAATGCACAGGATGAGTTCATTGATTATACTGTCACAAACTCCAAAGATGTATGTGCCAAAAAGCAAAGAGATGCATTCTTGAATTCTAGGAGAAAGGAGACTGTGGGTTTTCAATATTTATGTGCTAGCCCACTGTTTATGTTACAACACAAAGTAGTAAACTACCTCAAGTAGCTCAGTGTTTGTCTTTCAGAGAACATACATATCATGCAGCAAAGGTAGACATTGTATGATATATTAAAATGGGTTGACACTTCCAGAACTGTAGAGAGTAATTTTAGAGAGACCATTGAGATCTAACGTGATAGGGAAAGGTTTTCACAAATGATACATGGAGTATGAGTCCATATAAATATATAAGTGGGAACAACATTAGGTTCTTTGCTGCTTTAGGACCTATATCAGAGTAAGAGATGCAGAATGCTGATATATTATGCAGTTGATAGCCTTCTGTTTCATTTCACTTTTGTTGGGCAAAGGACTTGGAAAGAAAATGGGTGAGTAGGTTGGGAATACACAATTTAGTGCACCTTCTATTAATAAAAATGGAAAAATGCTGGAAAAGGTTCAAGAATATTTAAGGGATATCAAAACAAAATTTTAAATAACTGCTGTGTGAGCCATTTTGGCACCTGAGGTAAAAGGAAGAATCAGTAATTAAAATTCGGATATTTTATTTATTTTGGATTTTACATTAATCTTTATTTTTTTAAAATACTGCGTTAAATATTATTTATCTTAATAACTGAGTTTTTGGTGCCTCCTTAAATTTTGCAACCAATATCAGTGCTCACTCACCTTACCAAAGTCCTTGATAGTTCCATAAGGCTTTCAGGGTTCTCTGGTCTCCATCCTAAGAATACCGAGAAAGGCCTGGAGGTGGAACCATGTGGAGGGGGGCTCTTTTATGTAGATGAAGATGCTCAGAAGACAAAGAGAATGAACCATACCAGCTTCAAGAAGATACTTAAGCTAAAGCAATTAAGGGCCTGGAAATTACTAGACTATGTGTTACTGCTACACGCCTCAGACATCAAAAAATAGGTTATAGCTGGGCACCTGGGTGGCTCAGTCGGTTAAGCATCAGCCTTTGGCTCAGGTCATGATCCCAGAGTCCAGGGATCAAGCCCCGCATCAGGCTCCCTGCTCAGCGGGGAGTCTGCTTCTCCCTCTGCCTCTGCCCCTCCCCACCGCTTGTGCTCTTTCTCTCTCAAATAAATAAATAAAATCTTAAAAAAAAAAAATAGGTTATAGCTTTGACCATACCAATCCAAACATACTTAGATGTGATATAATCTTTAGTAAAGTGAATTATACACCAAATTTGGTGGTATCTTTAATAGATTGATTCTTGTGGAACGCACTCTGTCTAGAAAGTATGGATCTAGAACATTTTCCACCTAGACTTTTGGGATAATATTTTTAAAAGAACTTCTTGATATTTGGATGTATCTTCTGACATTTAAGTTTTGTTTTACAAAGAGGCAACCCACAGAATGGGAGAAGATGTTTGCAAATGACACTACAGATAAAGGGCTGGTATCCAAAATCTATAAAGAACTTCTCAAACTCAACACCCAAAAAACAAATAAGTCAAAAAGTGGGCAGAAGATATGAAAAGACACTTCTCTGAAGAAGACATACAAATGGCTAACAGACACATGAAAAAATGTTCATCATCATTAGCCATCAGGGAAATCCAAATCAAAACCACACTGAGATACCACCTTACACCAGTTAGAATGGCAAAAATGGACAGGGAAAGAAACAATAAATGTTGGAGAGGTTGTGGAGAAAGGGGAACCCTCTTACACTGTTGGTGGGAATGCAAGTTGGTACAGCCACTTTGGAAAACAGTGTGGAGGTTCCTCAGAAAGTTAAAAATAGAGCTACCCTATGACCCAGCAATTGCACTCCTGGGTATTTACCCCGAAGACACAGATGTAGTGAAAAGAAGGGCCATATGCACCCCAATGTTCATGGCAGCAATGTACGCAATAGCCAAACTGTGGAAAGAGCCGAGATGCCCTTCAACAGATGAATGGATAAAGAAGATGTGGTCCATATATACAATGGAATATTACTCAGCCATCAAAAAGGATGAATACCCAACTTTTACATCAACATGGATGGGACTGGAGGAGATTATGCTAAGGGAAATAAGTCAAGCAGAGAAAGGCAATTATCATATGGTTTCATTTATTTGTGGAATATAAGGAATAACATGGAGGACATTAGGAGACGGAAGGGGAAAATGGGGGGGGAGGGAATTGGAGGGAGAGATGAACCATGAGAGACTATGGACCTGAGAAAAAAACAGGGTTTTAGAGGGGAGGGGGGAGGGGGAATTGGTTAGCCCAGTGATGGGTATTAAGGAGGGCACGTACTGCATGGAGCACGGGGTGTTATACAAAAACAATGGATCATGGATCACCACATCAAAAACTAATGATGTATTGTATGGTGACTAACATAATAAAATTAAAAAAAAAAAAGTTTTGTTTTAAAGGTCAGACTGATTCATCTCTATTGCTTGAAATGGCCCTTAGCCATTAGGATCTGTTACCAAGAGTGTTTGTTTTAAAATGTAAATATGCTAAGGCCTTTGAAAAATGACATTAAAGGAGAGTCTTAGGCACATTCTCTAAGGTTTGCATTTAGTGTCAGTTGTTTATTTATTTATTTATGCTATTATCAACTAATTTTATTGGATTCTATCTGAGATAGGAAGTGTTTTTGTGTCCATGTATTTTCTGAAGTGTGGTTGAAATGTCTCTCTTCCTCACATAGGTGCTCAATTGATAAAGAAATACATTGAGCCAGCCCTAGAGAGCTTGAACACAAAAGGAAAAAGTGAAGATTTAATGTTTAATACTTAATATTTTAGTTCACCACTGAATGTTAATCCCTTGCATAGTATGAAAATATATAAGATGGCTCTGGTGGAAAGAGTGAGAATTAAAGTAATAGGCTGTTCTAATAACTGAGAGTTTGCACATCATTAACATAATCTCTGATCCTTAATTTCCTCATCTGTAAGATGGGGATTACAATAATTTCTGAACATGAAAAATTTACTTAAAAATGACAACTAATGAACATGTTCAAATTGGTGAGTTAAC